TCGTCTCCTATGAGATCATCTGACCTCGAGATAAAGTTGATCGAGGCTGAATAATTACCATCATTACCGAGCAGCCCGCAGAGTATCCAGCCAAACATCGTGCGCACAGCATACGGATCTCTACGGCCTCCTATCCTTTGGTCCAGAACCCAATGCGCCTCGGTTACATCACAGCCGATCAATATGTCCACTCGGGTATCCGGAACATCCTCGAACGGCAGATCGTGGAGGTGAGGCCAGCACCGCGCTAACGACCGGATACTTTTGGGAGCTCTCATTGGTAGTTCTGCGATAGTAAATGCATGGTGTATCACCAGCTCTCATTGGTAGTTCGGCAATAGTAAATGCGTGGTGCACTTCTATCGTATCTTCCCCGGATGTGGGAGCTAACTTCAAACTCAGCTGAGAAGCTCGAACTGCTCGTGCCCCATTCACAGTGCTGATAACCTAACTTCAAACTCAGTTGAGAAGCTCGAACTGCTCGTGCCCCATTTACCGTGCTGATTACCAATGAAGTGGTTTGTCCACCCAGGTCGTGTTCTCGTGCAAAGCTCTCTCTCACGAGGGTGGTATCTGATCCATTGTCTCGAAACGCCACGGCTTGGACCATGCCACGCGGAGTCTACACTTGGATTGGTATTATTCCCAAGTGGACTGGACTGCGCTACACCGGTCACGGTAGGGGTTTGTCGTTTCCGGTTATTTTATTGTTATTCTTACTGGTTGGGGCTATTTTCGTTAGGCTAAAGCATTTTGTTGTAGCGTTTATTGTATTGCTTAGTATTGTCCGACTATTTTTGGCTTTTCCTTACATATTACTCGTTGGTTTTCGATCATTTTATAGTTATTCATAGGTGTTCTACCCATTGTCGCTAGATTATTGTAACATTTCTTGTAAGGTTTCTTGTATTGCTTAGTATTATTCGCCTATTTTTGGTTTCCTTGCATACTAGTCAGTGTGTCACAAGAGGTATAAGATCTCGAATTCTCAAACCTTTTTGGTGGGATATTTGAAATAATTACTTACTAACTACTTTTAACCGCCTCAGTTATTGTAACGCACATTTGTACTCTTTATAGAAGCCATCAAGCTGTATTATTATCGTAACCATAGCTGATATCATCAAAATTTGGGTTATCACTTACTTGATTTGAATCAAGAATGAAGAAGCTACATTGCAGGGAAATAGAAAACAAAAACCTGAAAATGAGCAGACGGAGGGCACCTAAAACTAATCGCCCTTGTGGTCTGATAGCTTGCGGGCAAGCAGTTGAAGATGCCATGCGATGCAATGCGTGCAAGTCATGGTACCATCGAAGGTGCAGTAAACTGACAAAGAAACTGATACAATTATATAAGAATAACCAACTTATGAAGTGGGTCTGCCCTAACTGTTTTTCGTATTGCACAGAAAGGTTAAAGGAGAGGAAAGTATCTCCCACTCCGAAATCCGTTCCCCCGCAAGTGCCCCAGTGCACACCTGTCGTCAAAGGCAATGTAAATAGCCACTCGGTCGCA